ATCTTCTTCTTCTTCTTTGTGTCATATGCTTGTCATTGCGTATGGCAATTTCTTTTCTGCGTATATCCTGTAAATATATGGGATCTACAGACTGTACCTACAAGTATTATATAACTAAATTGGTTTTAATTGATTTGGAAGCGATTTACCACCTCTCGGAAGGCAAAGGCAAATCACTGATTGTGGGAGTAACTCTCTGCCCAAAAAAGTCTCTTTTATTAATATAGGCCGTTCACAGCATAAAAACTGTAGGTTACAGTGCTTTACCCCAAACGGCCTATATAAGAAAAAAAGACTTTTCTGGGCAGAGTCACTCTCAGTGGCCTTCGCCTTTCGAGAGATGGCAAATCGCTCCCAAATCAAATTGAAACCGATTTAGTTATAATTGCTCCGGGTAGATTCAAACCTGCAGGATCTTCTGGCGCAGAAAGCCAACGCGTAGCTCTTCGCGCCACGATCGCCACAGGTGTGCAGTATGTGTAATAAAATTATCAATTGGCCCTTTGTCGTAAATCGCCATAATAATGTATGATAAATTCGAGGATTTAACACTGAATCTGAAATTACGCCATTCTCAGGCGTTTCGTCGAGAAAAAAAGTGTCTCTTCCCAAAAGATTCGAGCAAATAACGTGAGAACAATCTTCTTCTTCTACGTCTCATTTTCCTTCGAGAGTACCTGGGCTCCTAACCTCCTAAAACTGGAGTTAATACGGCAAAACATGAGACGATCTGCACGACAATAAAAGAATACAATTACTTCTGTCATATCGCTTCTCTGTTTACATCGTAAATTCAATTGTCATTGCACGCCTATCGACGACAAGACGCAATACTGCATCCACGACAGGACAAGGATATCGAAGGCAGTAGGTACGCATATATTCTCACGACAATTGAAACACCTGACATGCTGTTATCTAAAGGAAAGTACATCAACCGCTCCAATTCTCTCGTGAACGGGCCAATTTTTCGCATACCTACGGCATCAGAGTCTGTTTACTCACCGGCACTGTGTGGAGCCGCCGATCGCGATCTGACGACGAAACAGCCGATGATCGCGTGGGCCGGCATCAACCGATACATTCCGACGATCGCCCGTCGTCTCAGTCGGCTCTCCCGACAGAATTCAGGCTCGCTGGACATTCTCGACGGGTGAGATCGGCGATCGATCGCGAAACGATCGCGTCTCCGCACTCCGAACCGACGCGCCGGTACGCAGTTATCATGGCGTCGGGTTAGCGCGCGCGCGCGCGCGTGGTTTCTCGTCCCGTCGATGTACAGTAATTTAAGAATTTAAATAATTGGCACTCGCGACGGGAATCAGATGCTCTCTGCAACACTCTTTAGCGAGCTATGACGACTGTCAATGTTTTCTTAGACGTTTGCCATAGAGATTTCTATAGATACGTAAATATCTGCGTGTAAAGATGGAAAAGTTTTCTCGTTCAAATTTCAATTGGCGCCGGTCTATCTCTCATTAATCGCTAGATGCGTCGCGCGTGACGTCGCGTGGATGTAGTAGTGCCAACGTAAATATCACACGCAGTACCAACTTTAGGCTGGATCCTCATGCAGACACTGGGCGCTTTTAAAGTCCTAAAATACAGAGATGCGACATTGAAGGGTATGGTCTGATTGGCTGTCTAAATTACATGATCGAAACGCCATTTTAATTCACTATTGCACCTAATGCATCATGATACAGCTTTGTAAAGTATGTACTACAGTATGTATAATACAGTATGTACTACATATAAATTATATAGAGAAAAATTATAACAATACAAAGTATTGAAATGCAATAAAAAGCTATTATATATTATGGTGTAAGTATTTTTGCATTAATTGTCATCAGCTTATAAGATTAGGATAGAGTCCTAGATTATTAGAGAAGCGCGACCGGCTTATGACAGTATCGCAAAAATACTAGAAAATATTAAAAATGGCGTCGAATAGCCAATCATAAGATTGATTCATTCGGCAGCTATTTATAATATCGATGAATCAATTTTATGATTGGCCATTTGCAAGTCCAATCAGGACTCGGAAAGGCTTGCGTCCACGATACTAGAAATCGATCAAAGTTCTTGGCTATACAGTTCTCAAATCGAGAACTGTATAGCCAATAAAATTACTACTCTTCCGTAAAAGCTGCAAGTTGATTGGCTACACAGTTCTCGGTCCAAGAATTTGGACCGATTTCTAATATCGTAGACACAAGGCTTTACGAGTCCTGATTGGACTTGCAAATGGCTAATCATAAGATTGATTTATTCGGCAGCCATTTGTAATACCGATAAATCAATCTTATGATTAGCCATTTGCGAGTCCAATCAAGACTCGTAAGACCGGTTGCGCTCCTCTGATAATCTAGGAATCTAGACACATCTAACGCTGATTGGAAAACGATTAGTGGGGGTACATAGCAAGAGAATTATCTTACTATTTATTCCTACTAATCATTTTCCGTCAATCAGCGTTAAGTGTCTGCATGAGAATCTAGCCTTGGTCCCGAAACACAATAGGTGTTGCAAGCCTTAAGCCGTAAGAAATTGACCAATCGCAATTGAATTTGAAGAGAATAATGGATTATGATTGGTCAATTTCTTACGGCTTAAGGTTTACTACGTCTATTGTGTTTGGGACTTATGCATTTCATCTGCTCTGGGCCGGTAGCATATAAAGCCGATTCTACATTAGTTGCAAGCCCGATCGCAAGCTTGTTGCGACAGCCAATCTGAAGCTTGCATTTTGAAATCAATGCTTCGGATTGGCTGTCGCAACAAGCTTGCGATCGGCTTGCAACTAATGTAGAACCGACTTAACGCAATAAAATGGGATATTTTGGTTGATTAATTCGTGACGCGCTCAGTGAGAACGCACTTTAAATCGTTTGTAAATCAATCGTCAAAATTTAATTGTAAAGCCTTTCATGTTCACGATGCTAATAGAAATCGCTCCAAGGAGAAGCCGTCCTTCTCGAGGAACTGTTGATTTACTTATAGAGATATAATCTAAAAAATTAAAATAATTTTGTGCGATTTTTTCCAATTCAATAAACTCCAATTTTTTGTAAAGGTGCCGCCATCTAGAAGCCAGATGACGATGTCCGATATCTCATCTCAAGTGTCTCGCATGTTCGCTGGCCAGCGCCCAGCAGTGCTAGCAGTGCCGCAGTGCCAGCAGCGCACTGAAGTTAAAAAAAAGGTATGTTAAGTCGATAACTCGCATTTCTCGAAATTATTTGTTGCCGCTTTTCCGTGATGCTGATTGGTTATCTCATTATGCTTACTTCGTTGAGCGGCTGTCATTACATATTTTGACAGTTATTATGTATATTGAGATTTGTTTTAGTAATATTGGAGTTAATAGTGTAATAGCAATATATATATAAAATTAATTATTACTGCATTGTTTCCGACGTTGATAAAAATTTTTCTTTTCCTCTTGAATGACTTCAAGATTATTTCAAATAAATTTTACTAAACATTTTTATTATAAAACTTTAACTGTAGTTTTTGTAGTTCACTTTTTAGTTCTTCAAAAATTTATCAGAAAAATACGAAGTTGGTATCTTTTATCATGCTTTATCTTAAAAGTTCTCCGTACTTTTGTAATTTTCATCAATTACAGATAAAAGCGTTCGCATGTTTCGTTTCTTAAAACGTCGTTATAATTGCTTTCTTGATAAGACATACGTACAATAAAGTGTCTCGTATTTCATAAAGTTCTTTTTTTTAAACGGCTCAATATTTGAATATTTATTTAAAATATTTATTTAAAGTTATTCAATATTAAATTTTCTTAATTCTTCAGTTGCATTATGCAATTATAAATCATCCATAATACAGGACTAATTGCATATATATGTTAATATTAATGTCTATCCTTAACAAAATGTTTAAAAATGTAATACGAGTAAATCGGACAATTATGTATGTAACACACGAAGATGAAGCGACACGTATATATATCATTTAATATTTACGCTATTTATAATTTTTCCACATTCTTATCTATTAAAGTTGCAATTGTTAAGTTATTATTTAATAATGATTTGCTTTAATTATACTATTAATTATTTAATTATTTAATAATGTTTTGCTTTAATTATACTATTAATGTAATTTTTATTTTTAAGTTTATAACTTTGTAATTGCAACTTTTTCTGTTTTCTATAATTATAATTTTACTATTTCTTAGAGACATTTAACACTGGATTTATTTAATTAATAATTAATTATTTATTTGAAATATTAATACTAAAAAAAAATAATTAATCACTAATCAAATAAATTAGTGTTAAATGTCTTTAAAGTCTGAGAGATTTTCTAATAAATATATCGTATTAAAGCCGGTATCAGACTACGCATTGGAGATTGAGATTAAGATTGAGATTAAGATTGAGATCGAAGCTCAGCCAATGAGAACACAGCAGACTGAGATTGAGATTGGAGTTTGGAAAT